TCACTCTCTTACAAGAGAGAAGGGAGGACTTCAGTGCTGCACCTGCTCCCCCCCCGGCCCAAGCCGGGGGAGGAGGGAGTCTGGCCCTGTTCGGGCCCGCTACTCCTCTCCCTTACATGGCTGCTGCTCTAATTCCAACTGCGCCAACAACCTTCTCTTCCGTTTTCTTGAAGATGTAATTAGCAAAGGTGTTTCTGGACTTTTGATTGGTCTTTTTGTCCGGAAATTACCTGGACAAAACCATCATCAGCCCCAGGGATGGGCTGAGGGGCAAAACCACGACAATGGGAATCGAACCCGGGTCTCTGCAGTGACAGCGCAGCGCCTTTACCCTCTAGATGGACAGTACAGCTGCATGTTATGCCTACCCATGCTCCTTGAGATTAATTGTACTTCACAGAGCAAAGAAGAGTACATGATAAAAAGATTTGTGATGCATTTGGTAACTACTGGGAATGAGTCAAATCTGATGGATCCAGAAACTCACAGTAATTTATGGTCAACTAAACTGATGGAAGCTTGGATTTCTTTCTGCCTAGAAATAGGAGAGACGATTGCATTTGCATCCTAGTGACTGCAGATGTAATAAGTAATAAGGAGACACAGAAATACATGACTGTTGAAACATATGACCACATCAGTCAAGTTAAAATCAAGAAGTAATTGTTACACTTAAAAGTGGCTACTTCCCAAAGCTGCCAACAGCCATATCCTAATGCTATCACTACCTGGAAAACAATTCAAGCAACATTTAAGGCTGGTGAACACCAACATTGCTTCTATCAGACTTCATTTATTGCCCTCTGTAAAGCACATTTCAGGGCAAGACATAACATATTGTTGATAACTTTTACAATAGCAAACCAATTTGCAAAACCACTGTAGTAAGTCTACACGTTCTCGTACCTGACAGCACAGCCATCTAGTTGTCCCACTTTAACAGCAAACTCATAAACATTTCCACCAACCAGTACGCAGATACAACAAAAATAATGAAGATAATCATAGAAAACAAACATTTCCAGCACACATACAGTATGGTAGGAGAAGGATAAATTGCAACCTGTGCAGAAAAGTCTTTGACACTGTGAAAAGTTGCCACTACCTTCTCTTTTGTACGTTCCCATACCTTAGTGCCTGTTTCCTCTGCTTCCACTTTGGAAAGGACTCTTCCTATTGACTGAAAATATTTTCCTCTTCCCAGTTACCTAGATCTCCATGAGACTTTGGTACAAAGGGCCCCACTACTGAGTATCCAACACTATAGCGGTCCAAGAACTATGTTTGCCTTTGTGGTGGCACATTCCACAGTTTAGGAGCTTTTAAATATTCCCCACACTCATGCAATTCTGTCCTTTCTGCATTTACATATTGTCTTGCACATACTTGTCTTTGAGCACATCTACACCTTTTTCACCCTCTCATACCCCCCAAGACATGAGAGTTTAATAAAATTATAGTGTTAACCGGGCTGGAAGTCTCTTACCTTCTAACTCCAATTCAGCTATTCTAGAAATACTTCTGACTTATGACTGGTTCCACCAGGAAGAAAATGTTACCCAATGTGTTGGCCCCCAGGGGATTTATGGCAAAAAACCACTTCAACAGTCTCTACGTCCCCATACAAGAGAACAAGAAGTGTTACGTCACGGGTAATTATACCCAAAAAAAGGCAAGTCTTAAGTGACTGAAACCAGGAAAAGTGTAAACCAGCAAATACAATCTTCACTACCCAAACCTGACTCTTACAATAAGAAGGAGAAAGGAGGAAGATGCACATGTATGGACAGATATGCAGGGAGACAGCAAAGAAAATCTGAACATACAGAGCTTTTATGCTCTGTAGAAAGCAACTATGATTCATTAGACACAAAGTGCATGCACATAATGCAACATAAGTTACAAGTCTGAGAGTTATAAGAAACTACAGCAGGTCTATAGCATTCATTCTGTACGACAGAACAGCAAATGCTGATTAACTAAAATGCTCTTGATTTATAATGAATTCATTGTGCACGGGCATCAGTTCTATGACAACGGAAGCGGAAGCCACTGAACAAATTTGCGATAACTCCCACAAAGGAAATTTGTAATACTCCCCCAAAGGAATAATGAAATAAGGGTGTATGGCAAGGGTACATCCTTAACATGATACAGGGCATATACCAACAACAACAGGTTTAATACGTATCTGGGAAACCCAAGTACATGGCTTCATATGAAAATACCTTAGTCAAGAAGGCTCCACATGTGGACTTTCTAGAAACTGAAGACTGCAAAGTCTTGAATTTGTAATTTTTCAGTTCGTGGTGTCAGAAATAGTAAGTCTGACAAATATAAAGAGGAAATAGCTTCACTTTTATCTTATT